TAGACACAACAAGAGAAAGAAAATGTTTTCAAACCGGAATGTCGACGTTTTTGTGCAAATTTGACACACCTTGCATGGATTTCAGAAACACCACAAAGCGCAGTTTCCGAAAAAGTTAACAGAGAAAATATCATTACGCAGAGCTGTGTCAACGAACTCGATAGGTTGTGCTAAGAAAGCTGCATCACACGTATATGGGTGTACTGAGTCAGTTTTGTAGGAGGTTCGCCCTCGCTCTGTTGGGGAATTGACACTCAGGCCGTCTTAAAGGAAGGAGCAGTCCTCAGCATCGTGCAATCCACGTACTTCGTAACACAGCATTCGGATCCGCTTTTTATGTTTGTATTGTTTTCTTAATAAAGTTTGACTGCCTCTACATTTTCAATTAGATCATCAATCTTTTGATCAGGACCATGAGGGGCGTTTCTCTAGACATTAGAGTGAAGCCGCTTCTAACGAACCTTCAACAGAGTGAGCCAAACAACCGGTTTCGTACGAAATTCGACAGTTGCAAGAAGCCCATTCCACGTCACGGACACTAGCGTGATCAACTAATTCACCGGTCGTTGCTGACCCTGAAATATCGGACATTATTATTCATACGGAATCTCCAAATTCCAGAATTGAATAACGCAATCCAGTGAAACTACAGAAAGGATGCTCACAGTGATACATGTGTCCTACTGCCGAATTCCCTCGAATGTATTGTGACGTGACATCCCAGTCTGTGGCGGTTACAAACGATGACAGCGAACCAATTCGAATTGATTGATGGAATCGCTGGGAGCCATCGACACGGTATATCAAAGCTGCGAGCTCCTGAAATATACATGTACTATCCTTGAGCACATAGCCCAAACGAAAAGCTCAGTAGGACTACCAGAGCATGGTATGCGGTTGGAAACGGACGAGCACGGTTCCTGCCACCTTCGAAACGAGAGGACAGGAAGTGGTGAGTGAGGACAGTGGAAGAGCAGATAATTAGCAGCCAGGGTACAGTATGGGGATGTGCGAAGGTGAGTACGACCCACACCCCCTCTAAGATAGTTCAGCTTCTACCCCCCCCCCTCCCTCTAACTGACCAACCAGATGCATCAAGAGCTTGCTAAATGGAATCTGGATTTTCGAAAGGCGGACTCTGCTCTCAAATCCAGGCAATAATAGGCTGTTTCAGCCTCATGCAATATGAGGCTGAACAACAGGTCGCATTAACTACAATTTTCTCTCTAGGATTCACAATAATACTGACACGCAACTGTAGCAAGGAAAAACACAGTCGAAATAGCGGCTAATGGTGATCATTGATAAGCTAAATTGGTGAAAAAAATAGCCCCAAGGTGAGCGTGTCAGGCCCCAGATGTGCATTCAATGAATGGTGTTATTGGGGAAAACATGAAAAACATGCACGACATCTCAACTAAAGCGAAACATGAAAATACAAAAAAAATAATGCAACCAAAAATAAAAAAACGTCATAATTATCTGATCGCAAACGTTGCGACTCCGCTCACTGGAAAAACCTTAATTGGAGCGCGGTTGCTGGCCTGCCAACGTCTTGGTGCTTGGGGGTGGTTCTTTAGCGGGTGGGGGGGCTTTGACTGTTAAAATGTTAGCAGCATGCACCGGGAATGTTGCGTTTTCTACCCAGTTGCAATCTGAATGTTCTCCCGTCCTGAAATATTTCGGATGGGTTTTGGATCGGCTAGGGGTAAATGCAAGCGTGGTGTTATCTTGACACAGATACTTATTTCGAACGCAATTTCATCGAGAGTAGAATCGTCTTGAAACCGCCCTATCTTTTCTCTTTCCAATAAGCTTTACAGTTTTCCTGAAGACCCGCTAGTTCAGTTAATATTTAGACTGCGGCACAGAGACGCGCTTTACCCTCTAGCCCACCCAAAAAATCGACTCCTTTTGGTCACTATTAGATACACCTTCGGAAAACTTCAGTGTGCCTCCAAAACACATAACTCCCTCCAAATGACTGAAAGAGGAGCTCGGCTATCACTGATCGATTTGGTCCGAGTGTGCGCCGTGCATTACGCCCCTATGCAGAGGGGTGGAAAGGTGTAATCTATTTCAGGTGCTTTTGTCCATTGCAAGCAGATGTTTGTTCAGGGTTTGGAAAGGACAATACGCACGAATCTGTTTAAGACGTATTATTTAGCCATCTACGTACTTACAAGTTCATGCTATTACCTGATATTTATTTATTTATTTATTTACCAGTCGCTCGCCGGCTAACGCCCATGCGCGCCTCCTTCTGATACGGCCCGGCTGCGCCGGGCGGGCGCGGCTTCTCCGCCCATATTTTCTTTCACATATTTCTAGACTCAACTGATATCCGCCTTTTGTTCTGTACTCCACTTTTTCCGAAGTAATTTGAGCTACATTACAGATTCTTCGTCTGACTCCGCCACAATGTTTTTGCCCCACAATCCTCACCGGCAACCCTCTGCTGACTTTATATCCACGTTTTTTCTGATCTTTGAAGCTCCTGGGACAGTTTTTGAGAGTTTTCGGTCTGGCTCCACCCATCCTCCTGCTGACCCTGCCCGCAATATGTATTACCCACCATTTCACAATTTCAGCGACCCTGCTGACCTAATTTACTTCATTCCGGTCTTCGGGAGCTCTGTAACCCGTTTTACAGAAACTTTTTTCTGGCTCCGCCACCTCAGAGAGGCTCCCCACAATGTCTTTTAGCCCATCAGTCTCACCGGCGACCTCTCTGACCTTAGTCCACTTTTTTCCGGTGTCTGGAATGTTCTGGAACCGAGCTACAAACTTTTAAAATGATACCCTGCGATTGTAGGGCAAGCTCCGCCCACTGTGGGCGGGTCTCAACACACTTTCGAGCGTGCCCTATATTCGCCAGATATTACATCTACACTGAATTTTTTGCGACTTCCAAACACTCTCGCAAACCGGGTTACTGAATTTTGCGAGAAGCACCGCCCACCTTGAGTACGCCCCGCCCATTTTGGATGTGGTCTGCCACAGTTAGTCTGCGACTTCTTACTAACCTTATTCCCTTTTCTCCATCTTTTGCTCCGGAAGCGAATTATGAACATTTCTCAGTGGAACCCCAAACTTTCGAGTCCCCGCCCACTGGGCGGGACTTCCCATAGGTCAAGTGTGCTTTTTATTTCTTGTCCCATGCCCTACCCATCCCCACCTTGACCCGACCTCTCCAAGTCGTTCTTCAGGTCGAACCGAATTTCCGGACAGACAAACAAACTTACAAACAAACAAAGAAACAAGCAGACAAGCAATGGTTGATTCTTTAGCACATTCTTGCTATATCGCTATATGAATTTTTTATTATTTGTTATATACATCCTGGTCTCGCAGCGGCTCCGTCGCGTTCATCAAATCTCAACAATGACACTTTTGTACTGTTTGTTGCCTAGGAGCCTACTTTTGCGATACATAAAGTGTTTCGTAGGAATTTCGCGATCTTGGATGCTCGTTGAAATTCCACCTTGGATTTCTCGCATCACATAGATACTATTGTTCGCAAAGCTCTCGTGACCCTCTTTGCTATCCTGAGAAACATCCGAGAAAACGACTCTTCAATTTTACTGAAGCTTTATAAAGCATACGTCATACCCATTCTCGAATACGGTTCGCAAATATGGAGCCCTCATACTAAGAAGCTCCAGGCGAAAATCGAAAAGGTGCAGCAAACTTTCACGAGAGTTTTGATGTATCGTTGTTTTCCCGATCCTGAGTATCCGCGTAGTATGCCTAGCTATCAGGAGCGCCTACACATTTTCAACCTCAAATCGCTGATGTATAGAAAGGTGTTCAATGAATTATTATGTTCTGTTTCAAGATACTGAAAGGAGAGCTTAGGTTGAAACCCAGTAAATACTGGGTGTTCAGACCGACAAATGGTCGCACCTCCTCGTTGTCCTTACAATGTCCTAAACTGTGCAAGGGCCACCGAACCAGAGTTTTCAACTCACTGTTTCCGTGGAGCGAATATTCTCCAACTACTCATCAGACCTGGAGGCGCCTAACACCTACACGTTCAGAAAGAGACTTAAGAAGGTCGATCTGATGACCTTGCTAAGCATTCAGGATTCCTGAATCCAGTAGTTTAGTGAAGTCTTTCCTCGTTTGCTTTGTGTTACCGAATTTTTGTATTATTTATGGTATTCGTATTTTTGGTTGTTCCATTACTCTAAGCCTATCGCTTGCACTGTTTAGCGCACCTATGCGTGCATGATAAATAAATAAATAAATAAATAAATATTCCCCACGTCCCCCGCGGATAGTATCGAACCCATTTGATTTCATATGAAAGCGCTGTTTAAACGTCAGCAGTTGAATCTGTAAAGAATACACTCATAATTGTTTTCATTTTTTTAAACGTCTTGACTTCAGCTCTACCCCCACTATCAAATGAAATGTCGAAGCATTGCCCGGCTCTGAGTGACTTAAAGGCACGTTCCGCGATAAACTAAGGCTAGAACCTTATAAACGTGCACGATGGTCAAGCAGGCAACAGTAGAGGATATGCTGCTTTTAAAAGTTGAAGAACAGCAAGCAAAAACGCAGGCTCCCGGTTTAGGCATTGGCGCCCGATAGGCCCATGCCGGCCTCCAGTGACCGTGTCGTTGTGAGACTGCCATTGCGCTCTCTCGCCCGTCATTTTCTGGCCTCTCTCGTCTCTTATCAGTGTCTCGCCGCCTTTCGCAAATCCAACAAACCGATCTTGATCCACCTTACGCCTCTTCCCTTCATATCATGATCAATTAAATAAGAGGTCTATGCGGCGCTTTTTCGTGTTCGTGTCTTTTGCTCTTCAACTGAGTCAACAAGACAGGACTAATTCTATTTTTGAATTTATTAGGTTGTCCGGAAGTTTTCACGTTCTGTGCACTCTATTTCTTGTGATCATTCACTGCGGATAAATACTCATCCCTGCTTCGCATGGATAGGCAGTATCCTAGAGAATTCCTTCGCCTAACCACTGATGGTATAATTGCCGTTTCACCATTGCTTGATAAACCCCCTTTTTTCAAGATTTTTTCAAGCATGAAAAGAGCACTTCGGACGATTTTTTCTTCGACTATAAATTGGGCAATCCGCATCGAACAGTCTCAACAAACTTAACCAGTATATGGGGGCCCATATCTGGGAACGCACTGTGCGGCAATGGCTCAACAAATTTCGTTCTGGAGATTTCAGCCTTGAAGATGAACCTCATAGCGGTCAACTAAAGCAATATCTGACGAGGATTTTAGGGGGATTTTGGAGAGGCTGACCCATCCCAAACAGTTCGAGAGATAGCACAAGAGCCTAGCCTTGGAAGATGAAAAAAACTCGGCAATTAGTTGCCCCACATCGGAAGTGACCGCAGGGAATCGGCACGTCTCGAGGTTTTCTGCATTGCTTTGCGCAGCAGAAACGACCTGTTTTTGGACCGAATTGTCACCTGTGATGAAAAATGGATCATGTATGATAACAGGAGACGTTCCGGACAGTGGTTGGATTTCGACGAACCACCGAGGTAATTTTCAAAGCCGAACCCTCACGAAAAAAAGATTCTGGTCACGGCTTGGTGGTCATCGGCTGGTGTGATCCACTATAACTTTTTATCACCAGGCCAAACCATCACAGCAGAACCCTACTGTGAGAAATCGTTATGCGAGATTTGTGTATCCGTATATTATATTTGTCAGACAGACCAACACTTATCAAAAGAAAGTCCGTATTTCTTTTGCATACAAGCCCGCCACATTTTTTCACAAATCATATTCCATAAAATTGAACGAATTAGGGTTGAATTCTACCACTCACCATTATTCTCCTAGACGTTTTCGGCCCAACCGACTATCACCTTTTCTAACATTTTCAGAACTCCCTTGCTGGAAAATACTTCATCAATCGGGACCAGGCAAAAAAGACCTTCGTAGATTTCGTGGATTCTCGACCACCCAGTTTTTTTCTTTGATGGGATTTCAGTTGAATGGCTGTCACATTGGCAAAGGTTTGCGATCTCAGAAACGTGCCTATTTTCGATTAAATCCATGAGTATCAAGAAAATTACGATGGCGTTTGAATGTTTGAAACCCCAAACGCCTTAGAAACTTTCGGACAACCGTATATTACCTGTGAATGTGGTCGCTAGGGGAATTGCCTTTTTAAGATTACGCCCCCCCTCCGCACGGCAATTACCCCCCCCCTATGGGTTATCGCACATTAACGACCCTTACCCTGATTAGCAGCATCATCAGCTCTAAGCAATGAAAACGCCACGCGGCACAACGGAGCACTTTCCGATCGCGCCCGAAGCCGCTCACTCTTTCTTCTTCGTTCATCACACCGATAAAACGAAACACTTTCACGGCGAAGCATACGAAAATAATCAAAATGGAATACCTTGGTCCCGACGAATAGGAGACTGCTGTTAGGGGCGAATCGAACTGTTGTGATCGGCTGAGTCGATTCTTTTTGTTCAAATACGGTCTCCTTGGTGGACAAATCCACGACGCTCCATGATCCGCCAGAGAAGCCTAGCGCTAGCAGAGCACCTGGTTGATCCACGGACAAACATGTAATGCCGTCCTGAACTTGATACATCAATCAAATGCTGAGGAAATCACACAGACACCTGTGATACCCCGTAATTTTTTCGCCAATCCCGCTTCTTCGTTGATGAATCGTACTGTCGAAGGCCACCGTCAGCACTAGCAGTGATGAAGAGATGGGATTGTACGGCCACACAGCACGTAACGTCCTCAGAGTCACCCTATGAAGAGGTTTCATGAGACAAGTATGTCGAGTATTTGAATTTTATGGCCATTGATTTTGGGTAATGGCCATTAGAACAACGGAGCTCAATTCAGCCGTACAACTATTCACGGTACGAGTAGATAGGGTTCAGAAAGAACGTGCAGAAACTGGATCCACTACTCATCTGTACGATTGTAAGTGTGGCTTTAGTCTCTGCAGGGTTGCAACAAAAGACATGGAAAGCTACAAATCTCACCCTGCCCAGTCCCAATTCTTCAAGGGCGTTCTAGTATGTAGACTCGGAATTGTTTGCAAAAACAGGGGCTCCCACTAACTATGTAATTGTCGCGCCAAATATTCCATTGAATGCCTCTAAGACCCACGGCAGAAGTAGGGTACACTATCTCATTGTAGAAAACTTTTGCTAAATAGGCCCCCCGCTCCTGCAATTTCGTCATTCGGTGCCACCCCCCCCCCCCTTCCCGACTGCGTCTCAAAGACTTGGGCGCAGAGCGTGAATAGTCGAGGAATTAGGAGTCACTTTCGGCCTCTGAAAAAAAAGACGAAAAAATTTAAAGACGACAGTAGATAAATGAACGTACGTCAACGATTTCCTCAAAACTCGCTTCAAAATCTCCGAGGTAAAGTGTGTTACGAGTAGTCCCAACGACAATTTGATTAACTTCCAAGTTGAGAATTACTTTCGGCGTTCCGGCGTCATCTGGCAGCTGAACAACAAGCGTCAATTGTGTAACTTTCCATTTGCCCAAGAAAATGCCATATCTCAGAGTTAACAGTGAACAGTGAAAACGGCTAGAGGCACCGCTTATGTCCACTGGAGAAAGTGTTCGAGCGGATTGCCAGGGGACTCCCATGCAGCTCCCTTATTATGCTGCTCGTTCGATAGCAACGCTTCCGCTGGAAGGCGGACTTCAAAAGCGAAGTGTGCAGGCGGAGTCACTGGTAAAAAGGAGGTGTCACTGAAACAGATTCGCGCCTGAACTTCTATTGCTTACATACCACCTCAGAAAATGATACATATAAGGTTGCCCACTGCGGACCACTCTACGTTTCCGACGCAATCTTTAACACATTTATGAGTTATCGCGAACCGTTCCCTTAACAGCGAAAAGATCGTCGAAGCCTTCTCCAGGGAAGTTTAAGGAGAACGGAAACCCAGTGTCGATAGTCTGTAGTGCTGTTCACAAGTGTGCAAACCGAAATTGCCAACTGCATCTGGCAAGCAAGTTATGAGCAGATACCGAACCACCTTTTTGAGAAGTTGTCACCAGGGCACGAAACAAAGCGTTTTTACGAAGGGTTCACGAGAAAGCAGATATGATATTTCGTTCGGGATGTCAAGCTACCTAGCTACAAAGTTCTAGCCGAACCGATTTCTTCCCAGACTTTGAAAACTTTATTGAAAGGTAAGTAGTGCCTAGCTGCAACTCCTGATCAGCTTCACAATGATTTTCATGGGACGAGAAGTCGTGCAAAAACTTTTGTATCACCTCGACGGGTCTCCGTCGACGAATCAAATCCGTTGTCTCCCATTCGGCTACAGTACGATCTTTACCCGCGCTCAACAGAGTTCCTTTCCGGCTAACACACAAGGCGAATACTCCTCCTGGATGTACTCCATGAGCCTGAAACAATTTCATGAGAATTATGCATTTCATTTTCTCTTTTTGCTTTTTTTATTGCGAACGGAAGCTATACCAAAACGAAATAATAAAAACTTCAGCAATGAATAATACTACTTCACACTTTTATTTCTTTCATATTTCGTGCTTACCATTGACTTTGTTGAAAGAAAGGGATGGCTTTTTCATGTGGGAGAAAACCAGTGGAAACCACTTAAAGGCAGTTGGCACGATGGTTTCCTACTTAGTCTGAAATGCTAGTAGGGCGCTGTAGTGGGGAAATAGCGAAAGAACGGAGCGAAAAGGTCAAAATCTGGCGAAGAAAAAGCCTCCGTTCTCAGTGACTTGTAAATCGATTTCGGACGAGTTTTCCGTACGCATCTTGCCAATCACCGCTACCGAAGATACGGCTGCATATGTGTACCCATACATGCATGCAGCATCACCGCCGCTTCATACCAATCCTTTGCCGCTTACATAATTTGCTCAGCAAATGAATGAATACGAGCGTCAGAAACGGTCGTCCGTTTGTGGGCGGGCGGGCAAGGAAGGCGTTTGGGACGTAAAGTTGTTGCTCAATAGGGCGTTATAGGGGTACCCTCCTTGGAAAAGGCTTCACGCAGCGCCTGCCCGAGGTCACGGAAAATTAATGTTTAAGCCCAGTTGCTACAAGATCCTTCACAACTGTTATACGATTTATTCCGCTGCCCAATTGCCTTTAAGTTTCAACTAAGTTCTGCTATCTATTTTTCGTTGATGCACACGCACGAAAAGCAGTCACTCGGAGACCTTACTGAACTGAACGACTGGTCAGAGTGCTACCCAGCACTCTGATCAGTCATGCAGTTCAAAAATGCTCTCGGCTTGGATAAAAACACCTGTTTCAGACGTTTCCATGCTCAAATCGAGAATCTACCCGCATCAAGACAACTGGCACAAATTTCGTCATTGGAAACTTGTAGAACTCTCAATCATTGCTGTTTTGGGGTGAGAGACACAAGTTCCACGTGGACGCGCGAAAATAGCAAAACACCTCCCAGCTAGTTGCCTCGACACACTGTGACACCTCCACACTGGATCGTTCCTCAAGTAGATACCCTTGTGAATGCCACGTCACCTGCAAAGCTGCCCCCCCCCCTTTGTCGCGACGTCGAATAACTTCTTATACCCTTGAACATGCTTGTGCTTGTTTTCTGATATAATTAGTTCTGCAATACATCCTCAACTTCTTCACTTGTTGCTTACCTGTTTTCTGGTTTTGAAAGTAGTGGGATCCCATAGAGAAAGTGTTCCATTTGAGTCACCCGTAATCACATCGCCAGTCTCCGAGAAACACATTGAAAGCAATGTTTTTGGCTTATCTCTACCCTGAACGACTAAGTTCGAGGATAAGGAATAGACCGGGAATATATGAAAGATGAAAACATTATGAGAAATAAATTCAATGCAATAAAAGAAGGATAGCGTAGAAGTAAATAAGAGAACAGCAAATGAAAATGTTTGGACCACCTCAAAAATAGCGAGGTTCTTGGTAAGCGCCTTGTTGTGCGCATCGAACTGCCAAAATGAGAAATGTCCACGGCCGTACACCACAATCAGATTTTTTATCGTCGGATGCCAGCTGATGGCGAAGATTTGATCATTTGCGCTCTTAAAAAAAGAGTAGTCATCACTTGATACTGTAAACAGGGAGAAAACAGACGTTACAATTGGTAGACCCTTTTTTCTTATTTGATCACGTAGATACAGATCATAGGTACAGTCCTCATCATTGCGGACCGGTGGGGCGTGTCAGTGCGGCTGCGTTTGGCGCGGTGCCAAAGTCGTTCTGCACCAGTTGTTGAAGCGGGCAAGTGACATTACTGTATTATATCCTTCGTATTACTCGTTTTCTACCACTTTTTGTCGCATACGCGTTTCAACAAAAAGGCTGAGAACGGCTTCAACAGTGTGCACACTCATACTGGCTGACACGCCCCACCGGTCCGCAATGATGAGGACTGTATTTATGACTTTGGTACACTTGGGCTGAGAATGAAGTCCAACTGAAGGGCTCACGGCAGTCATGTCCGCTTCAATGCAGTTGGCACGATAATTCGGTACTCGGCCTAAAATGCTGGAAGAGCGCTATATACGGAGAAAATGGT